AACGGGGCAATTGGAGTTTTTGTGCGCCGGGGCAAAAAAGAACCCCCCCCCCCCCCCCATCAATGCTGTCTACTATTACTACTATAACTACCACAATAACGGCACAGCTAGTGCCTGCTCCTGCACTCTAACTTTACATGACCCCAATTTATCAGTAGAGGTTAATGATATTTTTGCTAATAATACAAAATATCTCAATACATTTCTTTGAGCAGATGCTGAGATTTAACCTCTGAATGACTGCACCGAAACAAAAAACAGTCTTCACAAAGTCCATTTTCAGGCTGGAGCATTATTTATTGAATTAAATAGTTTAGTAACTGCGCCAATATAACAAACTCCAATTGGCTCTTGAGAAATATCTTACCTCTGTGGCTTATCAAATTAGAATAAACTAGTTCTACGAAAGATATAACTATGTAATACCAACCATGAGACCATAAATGATCAGACCATAAAATGAAGCTTTATGAGTACACGTTTGCTAAAACAAATACAGAGAAAATAAAGTTTGCCTGAGCCACACAATCATCTTAAAAAAAACATTATTATACAAGGATGGTTTCATAAAATTAAATATGATATTATTGTATTAGTATAATTTAATATACATTTATATAAAAGCAAGAATTCTTCTGGACTCACTACATTGTAATTGCAAATTTAAAATCTAATTTTCACTGACCAGTCTAGCAAAGAAGTTACGCCTGTTATCTTCTATTGTACAATATATTGTACAATATATTAACAAATATTGTGAAAAGGTTCACAAGAAAAAACGATCTTTGGTGGAAACAGTTCAGCAACACAAGCAGCAAATGACCAAGCTGAAAATAGCAGGTGAACTTGTTACGTTGTCAGAAAATCTACTGTCCTGCCTGAAGTCCAGATCTGTCGTAAACTGCAGTCTAAGGTCTACTACTTGATAGAGTAGATGATCGTGATACCTCTCAGTGCTGCCTAGTACTTTAGAAGACACCTTTCTAGGTTTGACACACAGATTAGTAGTTTCTTGCTGCCACTTAAAGTGATTCACGAACAGGAGTTTGTCTGCAGGGCCTTTGAAGAAGCCAGGTGTAGTTTAGGAGCTGGAATACTGTGGAGGGTTTTAAAATGGTGGTTCCTTAGGATATGCTCCACACATCAGCCCAAATTGCTGCCAATCCCTCTTTGCACCTTGCATTAGGTCACAGGTTGACGGTTAAAATGCTTCATTATCAGTTGTATTAGGTGAAGGAGAGAAGAGATAGAGAGACAGAGAAAGACAAAGGAAAAAAAAACAAAAAAAAACAGAGTTGGTTGACCTGTCTGGACAACATACGTGTAACCAGAACCTGCCACAACCAAGGCCATGACCTCACTGGGTTTTTCCACAGACACACACACACACACACACACACACACATGCAAACACAGTGGGCTAACATACAGCCAGTTCAGCCTGGCCCAAAGTGAGCACTTGCCTCCATTCAGAGAGCCACACATTGTAACCCAACACAGTGTGATCACAGAGGCATGCTTCACAGTGGAGAATGCTAATCTAGACTCAAAGGCTGTACACAAAGCAACATCTCTGTGGCTTGTTTCTGAAGGGTGGGGCAGTGTATCAAATACATCCTGACCTCAGGTTGGAGAGGAAACCAGAGTCTGTCATTACTGATCAATCTAATGTGTGGCCAGTTTCTCAGGTTCACTAAATAGCAAGGTCATTTTTGTGTAATTCCCCCAAACAGTAAAATTAAGAATTAAATTCATAATATGCACCAGAGAGGAGAAACACAACCCACATCACTTTTATTAAAAACAGCAGCAGCTAAAAGCTGAAACACAAACACTAAATAAAGCTGTCACTTTATTTATTTATGTCTGAAGCAGCTACACCATGTCCCTGCAGAGGGCTCTCTCGGTGGAGCTCAACCTTACATCGCTTTTCTTTGCCAACAAATAAAGCATGAGAGGGTGACCAATGTTTTGTTTTGCAGTTAGCGAGATAAACAGTCCATGTAAGAGGACAAGTAGAGTATCCAACATCACCCACCACTATACCTTCGATAGCTCAGTTGGTAGAGCGGAGGACTGTAGTGGTGGTCAGCTGAAATCCTTAGGTCGCTGGTTCAAATCCGGCTCGAAGGAATGTCTTTTTTTCTAACTTTCCAGAGGGATTAATAAAGTTCTATCAATCTATCAGCCTCGCTCGCTAAGACTTACTTATTATGAACCTGCCTCTGTTGATCACTCACTTGTACTTATTGCTTTTACAGAGACCTCAAAAGACATTTGCACAGTTGCCAAGCCAGCTAATTAGCTTTACTGAACAGACTACAATGACTCATATTATGGCTTTCACTTTTCATCAAATTAAAGTGGATGTTAGAACCAAGTTCAAATGTGGTTAATTCATGTTCCTCTCTGCGTCTGAAGAAGTTAAACATTGATCCGGCCAAATTTTCTCACAGGGTTGCTCAACATGAGAACCTTTTCAGAACACAGGACAGTGACACGATTCCACTGTTTTGCTATTAATTAGACAAAAGTACCTAGAGGCTTCAAGAATGCAACACCCAAGCTTCTGAAAAGTGTGCAAGGGGTTCAAAAGTACTGGGAAATGAGTTACAAGACCTGAGCTCTAGTATTGTATTGAATGAATTCCTCTGCTACTGCACATGGCAGTACCTACCACTACAGAAAGCTGGTACGTTTTACTGCTTCTAGGATTAGGCTCAAATCCTCCTACTGTGAGAGGAGGAGTCTAAAAGCATTTGAAAAATAGTATACTGCATGCTAAAGCATTGTGCATGAAGTATATTACATTACTTTTCCACTGTTTCATTGTCAGCCAAATGTTAATGCCTCTGTGCCTGTGCAAGAATATTGGTTGATCACTCATTTTGGCACACGGCTTCAGTAGAGACGTGACCAGAAACAGGAAAAAGTCATCTGTCTACACTGTAACCTCGTTAGGCTGCCAGGATTGACTTTGTCTGTGTGCAGAGCACACATCACACAGTTGATCTTCTAATATTTTTGAAGGTCTCTGCATGTCACACAAAATTCATTCAAAATGGATTCGAGGAAAAAGCGACAGCACTGACACATATCCTGCCCCTCCTTCCAAGAATCCAATCAATCGTCCTTAAAAGATCTGAATATGGAAAAGCTGGAAAAATATCAAACAATTATCCTGTTGGACTGGTGCACATGCACATATGAGGTTTAGGACACTTGAGTTGATTTGAAAGCATTTGGCAGAAGGGTTTATTTAAATTAGACTTGACTGCTAATTCCATATGAACTTTTTATCTCCCAGCAACCACTGGAAGTGATGTTACGGATCCCTGACCCCTTCATTTAGACAGAAGCCTGGTCTAGTTAGTCCCAAATAGCTGGCCAGATATAATTTTCCAAGGAGTTTGACAGTAATCACTGTTGTCATTTTCATTATCTAGCCCGTGACCACAATCAGAAACAATATGGTTTACATCTCATGTTGAAGACACAGTTGTGTCATTCCAGATGTTGATCAGGGAAGATAATTTGGAAAAAGTGACGTTACTCCTACTACTGCATCAGCAGCTATGGATATTTCAGCAAGGGCACAATATATGTTACGAAGGGACAGTCAGCTTCTGCACACAGCATGACCTGAAGTAAAACCAATGTTTTGAAGCTACACATTTTTTAACCCCCCTTCCTCCTTCCATAAAATAGGCCAACACCTGTTCTTTTCTGCTCTGTGACACTCTCACATCTTAAATCATACTGGAAAACTGCTGTCACCGAGTGTGTAACGTCTGTGTATGCTGTTAAAAATGCTGTAAAGACAAAAACGTGTACTACGGTGGCGCTTCACTGTAGTAGGGCCACATTTTCCACATTAATGTTTCACCATCCAAAGCTAAAAGGTTAAATATACTCAGGCCAAGTGCTTCTGACACACAACTACTTATTATGTTGGTATTTTGGTTGGATTTATTTCTGGGATGAAAAGTCCTACCTGCCACTGGATGAAATATGGTGTCCTGACGGTCTGTCTTTACGATGTTCCCAGACGAGCTGTTTCCATCTGCAGCAACAGAAAGAATTCAATACATGAGTGAAACGCTGCTTGTGAGCAATTATTCTAAAAGTTGCTGTCAGTGTTAGAAATGCAATGGAACTGAGAGCATGACTTCATAAATGTCACAGTTTGGTTTAGTTGAAATGCAGAAGCAACTGAACAGTGTCTGTACGGAGAGTTTAAAAAAGTGTGCAGCAGTCATGCATGGCTGATCCAGCAAAAAATAAATAAATGCTAAAAACTGCAAATAAGCACAGAAAAGGTTTTTTAAAGCTTCTAGAATAACTCTGTGATGAGTGTGCCTGATTTGGGAATACAGTCATGGGAATCTACAGTAAATCGGTCTCTTGACGTCCGTGAGTCAACCTAACAATTTCTAGTTGTGCACATGTTTTCGCATTTGCAGAAGTTGTGTGCATGTGGTCACATGCCTATAATAGGTTGTGAGAATATTTTGGTCTAAAATGATACGTTTTAGGAAATTTGGAGGAGATTCTAGCACAGAGGTGGGCAGAGCTTTTTTTAATGCTTTGACATGGACTGGTCCCACTTTAATTAGTCCAAATCATCACATTGTAAATCACTAAAACACAGATTTCCATAAATTGTAAAATACAACAATACCTGTAGGAAACACTCTAAAATCTAAATTTTAAATTATGTCTTTACAATTAAACTATTAGTTAAGATGTATCATTCATTTTAATATTTTACTTAATAGAGCAATACTGTCAATAATAAAGATTTTACTTAATAGAGCAATACTGTCAACAATAAAAAAAGGATGTCAAAGAATAATCAAAATAGATTTCTAAAAGTATCTAAAAAGTTTGTGTTTCTAGAAATGTTTTTATACTTCATCTCGGATTAAGTACGTGTATGTTTTGTTCGCTCATAAAAATAATCAAACAACTCATTAATGTTTTGTGACAGCGGACAACATTTTACAGTGTTTTGAAGCATTTATATATATAGTGGTTGATCTTTGAAAATTGAACATGTTTAAGTTTTTTTGCACATCATCATTGGAGGTACAACGTTGAGTAGATTTATTGTAAAATGTATCAGTTTTCCCAGCAGGAGATGTTTTGACTGCTAATGCATGATTTGTTTAAAGAATAATTTAGTTCCAGCAAAGTTAACTAATGAAACAAGTTAGTTATCACATCACCTGCAGGGAAGATAGTGGAGTTACAGGTTTCTCTGTTTTCAGAATACACAGAATTATTTTAATTTCAAGGAAAGATGTTTCAGGGAGTTTGGAGATGTCAAAAGCTCATTAAGAATCGAGACATTGTTTGAAGACGTGTTAAACCTTAGATTATTAATATTTTTAAACGTGTTTGACACGCATTACTTTGATTTAAAAAAAATAAGAAAAGAAAACATGGCACTTTTGATGTGCAACTGAATTAAAAAGTCAATTACACCACTTACATAAATCACCTGTGAGGGTCGTGAAGTAGAGCAGCTGTTTTCACTATTTAAAGGTCAGCTCATTCAACAGATCATTTGAGAAAATGGAGAAAGGTCAAAACATTTGTCTAACTTTTACACTCTGACACTCCCGTCGCTTCCTACCTTGTCCGATAGCCGTTAACACCCAGCAGAGCACTGACACAGTCTAGACTCCAGACAGCGACATAAATCCACACAAACACCGAGCAGATGCTAAATAAGGTCCGCGTGCATCCAAGCGAGGAGGTTTAAAGCTGCCGAGGAGGGGATGCAGGAGGCGCTGCTGTTGTTAGTCCGCAGAAGAATAAGAAAAGAGAGGAAAAAGGTCGAGATTTGACGGAGGCAAGTTTCAGAAAATAAAAGTCCTGCCCCTAAAGTCAGGTCCTGCCCCCCCTTCTTCTCCTCCTGGTCCTCCTGCTGACAGAAATAGCAAGTAAGGCGGGCCCCACCAAAAATAGCCTTGACTTCTTCACACGGACCTTCAGCACTATTGTTTCCCAGCGCCGCCTGACTCCTGCTGGGTGAACGCTCACAGTGAGAGCGGCTCTACGCTGTGGCACCACCTGCTGTCTAAATATTACCAACCAGCGCTGCAACAACAACAGGGCGAACTGGAACTCACAGTCTTTATTTTGGTTGTGGTGTTTCTTTGGCTAAATGTTTAAAAAATGTTCTAGAACAGTGGTTCTCAAACTATGGCACGCACACCATTGTGTGACAGTTGCTAACAAAGCTATGAATGTAAACAGTATTGATAAACTGATCTGGTATTAGCATTGTATCATGTTCCCATGTTGACTAAATAACTATGTCAGACATCAGATAATGAGACTTGTCCTTGATCCCCAACTATTTATTCTAATTCTATGTTTGAGGTGTGCAGTGCTACAGTGTGTATAAGCACTAGCAGCAGGTGTAACATGCAGGTCGACGACGAACACAGCATGGCAGCGAGGAGTGTGGCAGTGAGTCCAATCTTTCAGTTTGTCAACTTGATTGAGTTATTCAAGATTAGTTAAGTTTGATATCAGTTCAACCGTGTTTTACAGTAGATTTAGATTTTCGGTTCGCATTGAATGTCTACAGAGAATTTTTCTGTCTATTTTCCTGTAGTAAATCTTAGCTAAGCAGACAGGCAAAAGAAGGTGTTTTTTGTTTTGTTTTTGTTACAAAGTAAAAATAAAGGGGAAAAAATGCATGATTTTTTCCAACAGTTTTATATCACTGCACAACTAAACTTGTTGTTCAAATGTTTTCTCAGGAAACAAAAGTGTGGCCTCCAAGGAAAAATAGATTAATTTTTTATGTCAACTTCCTGTATCTAGGAAAGTATCTAAAACACATGCTTCTCAACATGCATCTGTCGGGCAATTAGTTTTATTTTAGCAAATGATAGAAATAAAATGCTAAAAATTTCATTTAATTTTAAATAGTACATTTTTTTTAAATCTAATTCTATTCTTTCTCTATCTCTCAGATAAAAATAATGTATTTTTTCTGGCCAGCTTTGTTAAAATATACATACACTATTTCTAAAAATGTAAAAACTATACTCTGGACATAATTACAGTGAAATGAGAAACATGCTGCCAGACATTTGCCTGCAACACACCCTGTTGATTAAAAACACATGTGAACGTTTGTTCACTTCAACAGCCATTCCACAAGAGCTTTGATAGGTTGATCTCAGCCTTTAATCAAATCCTCGGTGTGAATGCTTTTCTCACTACAACTGTGTTACGTTTCATCAAAATAAAAAAGCCTAGCAGGTTCACATGTCTTTGGTAACCACGGAAAAAAATTCACCTTGTGACGAATGTTCAGAGGAGAATTGAAAAACACTCTTGGCGTAATGATGAGACGTATATTGAATTATTAAACTACTTTTACAAACAGCATTTCTAAATACAGTTAATTCTGGTTTTGCAGTCTGTAATTTAAAATAGTTACTAAAAAGGGTTTATAATCAAAATACAATAAATGCACAGCACTTTCTGACCAGAACACCTTTAGCATGTTGCTGCTATGCACTGATCAGAATCATCTTTGTCAGAAAAGATCAGAAACAAAACAAAAGATCATTTGCGTGGCCCTGAGGGCGCCAGGGACTTTGTTTTAATGAACACTATATATGTCTTCAACAATTAGACATGTACCTTTAAAAGAGTGGGTGTCATCCATGCTGAACAATTACATAGCATTTTAAAATTAGCTTAGTTGTACAACAATTTCTCCAGTGTGGGATCAATAAAGTTCAATTTATTCTAATCCAATTTAACTGTGACCTAAAAGCATATTTTGTTACACAGCATTGTTGCTAAACTTAAACTAAACGTAGTTTAAAAGAAAAAAGGTTGAAGGCAGTTTAGAGATAAGTAACTGAAAATTGTGTTAGAGTTAGCCCTTAAAGTGAATAATGCAAAATTAGCTCAAAGCTAATAAGCCAATTAGCCCTAATAATCCAAGTAAAGCGAGCAAGAAGGATGGAAAAATTGTTTAAGCAAGCTGGCACAGATGCAAATATATATGTATGTATATCTGTGCATATATATATATATCAGGTTCATTTACGCTCCTGAATCACCCCCCCACGCCCCTCATCAGCATTTTGCAGTGCCTTCGTATCAACGAATCTAAAACGCGTGAGTGTTGAATCCTTTTTTTTCCGATCTCACACTTGACGAGGTCAACAACTGACGCTTGAGAAACTAAGAAGCGTGAGTTTGTCTGCTGATGTTGGTGGTTCTCGGCGGCCGTGCTCTCGCTTTGCTGCCTCTGTGAACAGGGGGAACCCAGTACTGTTCCCAGAAACCCTTAGTGTGTGGGCGTCTATGAGTATCTGTGATGTATATATGAATGTGTACGAACGACCAAGTGTGCGTGTTTGTGTCTCTTTGTCCCTCAAATTACACAATCGAACTCACAGTGTGAGTCACATCCGGTTATACGCCGAAAATATCAAAACCACAGGGCGACAGAAAAGCAGTGCAGCAGGCAGGCAAACGCCCACGAGGAAATAGGAATACACACCAATACGTACACAAACTGAAGTGCACCAAGTACCAGGGCCACTGGTCAGATGACACTTTCCATTTACTTTTTCAGAATTTTGTTTTTTAACATTATCTGTTGGTTATTAATTGCTGCAGTTTCTGCATGTGAAACCTAACAAACGTTGCTAAATAAAGACCCGAGCCTGTCAGCAGTCACTCTTGTCTGACTTTCTTCTTTATGGTACAACAGATATTTTGAGTCAGAGACAGATTTGGACTGCATGGCAAGTGCTACAAAAATGGGCCATTACTATTTTAAAATTAAAAGTTGTGAACTTCAATTGTGGCCGATTTACACATAATGTCTGCCAAATGTGTTCTGTTTTTATTATAAGGTAAACTATGAGTCTGAGTTTTCAAGCAGTTGTCAAGTTGAGCGAGTTTAAACCCATTCAGTACACTGTGGTAAGTATAGCTTTTTTGGTAAGTACTATATGGGGCAGGATGTGGTTATGCGCTGCATAGTCGCCTCCCACCTGCAGAGATGGGCTGCTGCTCACGCAAGAAGAGATTCTTCACACAGAAGAAAACAAAAACTGCAGAGATTTAAAAAAAGATTCCCAAGGCAGATGCCAGGAAAAATATATTTATTTTTTCAGTAACACTAAGAGTGTAAACAAAGCCTTATTATAACTTCTGTCACTGCGACTTTAACTGCAATAAAACAGAAAAATGAAGTCTGGTGTTTATCTAAAAATATTTATTAGTGGAACTTTATTAAGAAGAGTAAAATACGCTAGTATAAGTTTTTCAATATTATTTGAATTTCAATATTTGTAAGGAGTAAAGTTACTTTTTTTAAAACAAAATCCATCTCATTAAAAACGCATCAAAACATTATCATGTACTCATACAGCACATGTTGGTACTGACCGGCCTGCAGTCCAGATCTGGCCTATAGAAAATTGTCTGACGTGTTGTGTCAAGGGGAGAATCAGAACTGTTAACACAGACTGTTTGAGCAAGTCAAGCTAGTTATAGAAAAATATGGTCAAATATTAACTTAGTAAATACAATGGTTTCTCAAGAGAGAAAATCTAAATAGATCTGTGTATCAAACTTTGCCCATTATATTGCATTTGTATCCTTGTATATTATTATATAAGACAGAAATCACGGTGGTCGGATTTACATGGAATACAAATGTAATTTTTCTGTCCCTTTGTTTGTGGTAAAAAAAATATGTATATATATTTTTTTATAACATACACAAAACATTATCTTTTTTCAGAAACTTAATAAAAAAAATTAGAAACCACTATTTGTAGGTCTAGTCACCTACCCCTGTGTATAGACAAAACAACAAAACAACACCATCACCTGTCTGAACTTGAATGAGTCTCTTATCCGTAGGCTAGCACAGGCTTTGACCCTTATTTCCACTAATAATGAAATCCGATGCGTTCGGTAAGCCTGTCTTAAACACCGTTACAGAGCAGAAGCTCATGGGCAGTGTCTGTAAAATGGAATTACAGCAGAGGCGGAGGGTTTAGGAGAAGAAAGATTGAGTGAGATGGAAGAAATCAGAGAAAGATCAATTCGGAGTGAAGTAGGAGAAGTTTGATATGGAAGTAGAAAGAGTTCAGGCAGGAAAAGCAGGAAAGATTTGGATGAGAACACAGTAATAATGTTTGGCTTTGGTCTGCTAGTGGGGTCCTTCCCCTTAAGAAGCCATCAGGAATGTGAGGAATGCTGCAAGAGAAGAAAAAAGGGATAGAGGGGAGGAGAGGGGGAGGTGGGAGGAGGTTGGGAAGAGAAAGAAAAATCAGAGGAGGGAAGATGAAGGAGAAGGAAAAGGAGAAGTGGGGATCCAGAGTGGGATGAAGACAGAGGGAGGAGGTCGGGGGGGG